CCAGCGCCTATATGGTTTGCCAGTGCTACAGTGCCACAGTGCCAGCACTCAAAAACCCTTTCTAACTTTCTGAATAACTTTGGTAGCTTCAATAGATTGTGAACTTACTAAAAACATGTAAACGTGGGTAGATATTTAGCCTAGGAGTTAAGATATCAGTGAGGAAGCCCTCCACCCAATGTCCAGGTACCCAGATGCCTGGCTCTGGCTCCTGACTACCGCTTCCTGCTAATACAGACCCTTGGAGGCAGTGGTGATGGCTCAAGTGATTGAGTTCCTGGCTCTGACCTTGCCCAGCCTCCACCACTGTGGGTATCTGGAGAGTGAACCAGCAAGTGGAAACTCTCCTTCTCTCTCTCCTGCCAAGTGCTGGCAAGGATGGGGGAAAACTGCAACTCCTGGGCTTTGCTAATGAGAATGTAAAATATTCCAGCTGCTGTAGGAAACAAGATGCTGGAGGGCAGGCTTTCGGCCCAGTGGTTAAGATGACAGCTGAGGCACTCACATCTCAAGTCTGTGGGATGCCTGGATTCAGGTCTTGGCTCTGCTCTTTCTGCTAATGAGCACCCTGGGAAGCAGCAGGTGATGGCTCAAATACTTTGGTTCCTGCCACTCACATGGGAGACCTGGATTGAGCTTGTAGCTTGGGCCTGGCCCAGTCCAGTCATTGAGGGTATTTGGGGAGTTAACCAACATTAGAGAGCTCTGTCCCTTAAAATAAAAAAAATTTTAAAAGAGAAAAAAAATAGGGCAGTTCCTTAAAAATGTTAATATATAATTACCATATGACCCACAGCTCTAATTCTGGGTATACATCCCAAAGCAATGAAAGCAAGGGTTCAAGCTGATAGCTGTACACCAATGTTCCTAGCAGCCAAAAAAGTACACACAACCCAAGTCTCTGTAAATGTGATATACACAGATAACAGAATATTATTCAATCTTAGAATGAAATTTTGATATATGCTACAACACAGATGAATCTTAAAGACATCATGCTAAGCACATAAGCCCCTAAGAATATTGCAGATTCACTTATATGAAGCACCTAGAGTAGGCAAATTCAGAGACGGAAAGTACACGTGTTTTTTTTTTTTTTTTTTTTTTTTTTTGACAGGCAGAGTGGACAGTGAGAGAGAGAGACAGAGAGAAAGGTCTTCCTTTGCCGTTGGTTCACCCTCCAATGGCCACCGCGGCTGGCGCGCTGTGGCCGGCGCACCGCGCTGATCCGATGGCAGGAGCCAGGAGCCAGGTGCTTTTCCTGGTCTCCCATAGGGTGCAGGGCCCAAGCACCTGGGCCATCCTCCACTGCACTCCCGGGCCACAGCAGAGAGCTGGCCTGGAAGAGGGGCAGCCGGGACAGAATCCGGCACCCCGACCGGGACTAGAACCCGGTGTGCCGGCGCCGCTAGGCGGAGGATTAGCCTAGTGAGCCGCGGCGCCAGCCCGAAAGTACACGTTTTTACTAAGGGCTAAGGGGAGGGGAGGGAGTGAGTTATTTAACGAGCAGAATCACAATTAGAGATGATGAAAAAGTTCTGGAGATGGGTAACATGATGCACAACAATGTGAATACCCTTAATGTCACTGAAAAAAATTAACCACTTAATCATGCCACTGAAAAAAATCAGCCACTTAAAAATGATAAATTTTATGTTATGAACATTTTACTAAGAAAATGAAAAAAAGTGCACATGTGTTGTTTATTTTACTACAGTGGCACTATGGGAAGGTGGTTAAGAAAACAAGTTTAAGAATTAGGTGGCCCAGTTTCAAACCCCGCTTGCCATGCAACAGCTCCGTAGTCTTCGGTGACTGGCTGCTCATTTTCTCAATTAATAGAATCTACTTCATAGGGTTATCGTGAGGATTACATAATCCACATAAGGTGTCTAAAACACTGCATAACTTTTTGTTATTACAAGTCTAAAATATACTCCTAGAGAGACTGAAGTCAAACATCTACAGAATCTCTCTGAAGCACCTCTTCAAAATTCTTTCCATCAGTAGACCATGGTTTGAAAACCAGTAATCTAATACAAACTTCTTTTCTTATGGTAAAAGAATTAAAGGGCTAAGGTAAGTTATTTGCCTCAGTTCACATATTTTATTTCACTTGTATTAATTTGCCTAAAATAAGAGATTGAGGTTAACAATACTAATGCCGTCACTCAACTATGTCCGTACCAAAGCAAGGGAAGCCATGAGATCCTACAATGTGCTTCTAAGAACCCATTAACAGGGGCCTGCACTATTGCATAGCACGTAAAGCCGCCGCTTGCAATGCCAGCATCCCATATGGGCACTGGTTCGAGTCTCAGCTGCTCCACTTTCAATCCAGCTCTCAGCTATGGCGTGAGAAAACAGAAGATGGCCTAAATCTTTGGGCCACTGCACTCGCATGAGAGTCCCGGAAGAAGCTCCTGGCTCCTGGCTTTGGATTGGCACAGCTCTGGCCGTTGAGGCCAACTGGGGAGTAACCCAGCCAATGGAAGACCTCTCTCTCTCTGTCTCTCCTCTATGTAACTCTTTCAAATAAATAAATAAATATTTTAAAAAAAGAATCCAGTAACAGTGAAGGTTCTCCACAATATTAATCTAACAAGTATTTATTTATGAGGTAGGGCGCAAAACCAAAAGAAAAAAAATCAGTTATCCTCTAAGACAATGCTTAAAAACGCCTCTTTATAAAGAAAATAAAGTCTTGGGGCCGGCGCTGCAGCATAGCAGATAAAGCTGCCGCCTGCAGTGCCAGCATCCCACATGGGTGCTGGTTCGAGTCCCGGCTGCTCCACTTCCCATCCAGCTCTCTGCTATGGCCTGGGAAAGCAGTGGAAGATGGCCCAAGTCCTTGAGCCCCTGCACCCACGTGGGAGACCTGGAAGAGGCTCTTGGCTCCTGGCTTTGGATCAGCACAGCTCTGGCCACTGCAGCCAAATGGGAAGTGAACCAGCGGATGGAAGACTCTCTCTGTAACTCTTTCAAATAAATAAGTCTTTAAAAAAAAAGTCTTAAATATTCGTCAAAATACAGCCAACATGAGCCCGCTACATTACTCCGTCCAGCCAATTATCTATATAATCTTAGGGAGACCTCTGAGTGACAACTCAGCTCCCGCTTCCACCAGAGTTAATATTCCTCACAAAGAAACAGCTACAGATAATTCCTTATTAAAGACAACAGCAAGCCAATAACACAAAATGCCTAGTCTAAAAAACAAAAGTCATGCATTAAGCTTTGCAGACATTCTTGTACTTATTGACTCGGGCTCTATCTGTTTTCTGTGAAATTCACGACACAAGCAGGAAAATAATAGGGACAAGCTTTGAAGGTCAGGCTCAACAAGAGCTAGAAAGCTTTGAGCGTGTCTATTCGGCCCTTCCCCCAGTGGTCTTCCTCCCAGCACAGCTCTCAAAGGCCAGCACTCCCTCCATGTGGAACGTCTTCCTCCTCCCCAGCTGCTCCTGCTGAAATCCTGCAAGGCTCCACTTAAAGGCAGCGGCGGCTTCGGTGAATCTGCTCCCAAAGTCCCAAGCGGGCATCACCCTTTCTTCGTCTTTGCTCCCCCGGTCTGCACCACCCTCTCAACATTTTATTATCTAACAGGACACACCGTATTCCAATTGTCCATATTCACTTCTCCCCAAGAAAATCCTCAGACAGCAGCAGGGAAGCCAGCAAAGGAATTAACATTTGTTAAACCCCTCCGTGCCAGCCTAGGTGCTACGCATTTTGCATAATTAGCTCATTTGCTCTCACTGACAACCATCTGGGGAAGTAAACAGGTGGTGTTAGGCCCGTTTTTGCTGCCAGGGAACTACTGCAGAGGTCAACCGCTTATCCAGCATCACCCGCTCGCCAATCGCCAGGCTCCCGGGACGCTGGTTTCCCGGGCCGGGCAGAGCTCCTCCCACCACACCAGGCTGTGGGTCTGTTCGCTGTGGGCCCCCCAGCCTGCTGCCGGTCTAGGTATTCCACAAATGTTGGCTGAATTGAATGTTCCCACGGACGCCATCCCACCCGTTAACAGTCGGATCACGCCTCGCCGCCGGCCCGTTACCTTTCCTATTCCTCTGCATATACAGCCAGCTCTCCACATCTCCATGAGAAATCCCGCAGACACGGAGCGGGGGACCTCTCCATTCCCCCAGGCAGCCCCGATTTGCTCTTCCCACGGAGCACAAGAAATGCACACACGCACACACACAAGACACGTGTAACACTCACACCCTTCCAAAAAGCTCTGATTCCCTACTCAGCCACGTCTTCGTGCTCCAGGCAATCCGGCTTCTGCAGTTTCCAGCTCACACCGTGGGGCCACCCTAAGGCACTGTCTGAATGAGAAAACCCCATCTTGAAGGCATCCTACCTGACACCACTGCCCTGCCCCCTCCTGCCCTGCGCACCCCCAGGAATGGCAGTTTGGATTTCCGGCGGGAACGTGCACCGAAAGACTAGCTGGGGCTCAAAAGCCACGGAGCAATTACTTCGCCTCCTTCGTTAGAAGGAAGACGCAGACGGCGCCCCGCCTTTCTAAATCTCTGCACTGAATCCAGCTGTGAAAGACCGGGGGCGCGGGGACCCCAGCCACCCGACAGCAGTCACCGGCTCCCGCGGCTGGCGGGGGACGACTCCTTTCCTCCTCACGCTCCGGGGCCACCTCCCCCGGCGCCGGGTGGGAGAAGCCCCGCCGCACCCTCCCCAGGCGGCCCCATACCTCATTGTCTCCCTCTGTGGCTGCCCCCAGGGGCGCAGGGTGCAGCCCAGGCCCCTCCGACCCCCACCCCCCGGCCGGCCGCCTCGCCGGGCGCGGTCCAGCTGGCCCCGGCCCCGGCGCGAGCCCGGCAGCGACCCCGCCCCGGACTGCGGCCGCTCGCACCGCGCCCGGATGGCGGGGCCGGGCACCGGGAAAATGGAGGCGGGAGCGGGGGCACCGCTTCACCGCCCGCGCCAGCCCGGCTCCCTTCCCTGAGGCCGCGAGGGCCAGGCGGACTACTCACCGCGGCTGCCGCTCGGCCCTCCGGCGGCCCCGGCTACCGCGGCGGCCCCGGGCAGGACAACCGCCGCTCGCGCTGCTCCAGCCTCCGCCCCAGACGCGGCGCTCCTTCCCCCCCAGGAGACGCAGCGAGCGCCCGCAGCTCCTGCGCCGCGCGCTCCGTGACTGACTGACTGACAGACTGACTGACGGATTGACCCGGCGGCGGCGGCGGACGCGCGGCCGCAGGGACAGGGGCAGAGGCGGGGGCGGGGCGGCCGCAGCGCCCCGCGGCGGCAGAGCCGAGTGCGGCCGCGTCCGGCCGAGACGCAGAAGGCGGGGCTGAGGGCCGGGCGGCCGAAGGGCGGACCCGCTCGCGCCCGGCCAGGCGCTCCGCCCGCCCGCCCGCCGCCACCGCCGCCGCCAACCACTCACTTCCGGTTCGGGCCGCCCCGCCCGCCCCCGGCCCGAGCCCCCAGCCCGCGGCCGCACGCTCGCCCCCTTCTCTCCCTCGTTCCCTGGGGCGCCGGGCCGACCGCACCCAGCCGGGGCTGTCCTCGGTGCCCCGCCTTTCCTCCGCGCGTCCCAGTGAACCGCCTCCAGGAACGAGTGAATCAGAGAATGAATGAGTGGGGAGGAAACTCCCGGTGCGGCCCCACCCCTCGTTCGCCTCTCCCGGGAAGCGGGCCGGGCGGCCTCTGTCCCAGGGCCCTGGGAGCCGCGGAAGGCTGGAGCAGACGTGCTTCGGGGCTTGGGGCTTCCACCTCCGGCCAGCGGTGTGCTCTGAGACCCCAGCAGCGTCTCACAGGGGCTCTCGGGCACCCACGGGATCGTTGCGGTTGGAATCTGGGAGGCCCTTCTTCAGGAAATCCCAATGTGGCCCAAAACTGCAGTTTCATGCCGTGTGTGAATGCGAAGCTTTTGGAAACTGGACCTCGCAGTTACCTTTAATTACTTTGTAATTTCGAAGTCTTTTTTGCCTTGTGTGACCTCCCTTAACTGAAATTGCTTAAGACTAGGATATCGGCGTTTTTTCCTTATCACCAAGGTCTAATTACCCGGATACTGCTTATTTTGTTGCAGGCTTCATTTAGGCAGACTTTTACGTTTTAACTTCTGTCCTGATTGTGACCTTCACCGAAAGTTGATTAAAGGAAAGAAAAAAAAATGGAATCGAATGCTTATTGTCTGACTACGTGTAGAGCGACTTTGTTGACAGCATTAAAACAATTGAGAAATTGGGAGTGTGACCTGGAATTGGTTGTGATGAACGTTGCTTTTTCATGTCTTCCCATCCGCTGGTGGTTTCCGTATCTTGAATTTTCACAGATAAAGAATTGACTGTACGTTTCTGAGATCCTGGCTCCCTTTCTGGGAACCGGAGTGCTCATTTCCCTGTGCTAAGGCCAAATCCTGGTTTGGTTAATTACATTCTTACTTGCTGATATTCTTGAGGACTTTCAAGTGGTTTTCAGTCTTTTTTGCACAATCTGTGCCAAACTGGTAGACAATCTGTTTCAAACTGGTATTTAGAACCACACAGTACACTTACTGGCTGCGTTTCACACGCGGATATCTGAACTGCATTTTTGTACCTTAAATTCACCAGGTGCTTCTGGCATCTGTAAAATAATACTATTTCTTAGAAGCGAGGGTGGTGCTGCTGACCAGTCCCTGGAGCCTTCTCTTCCTTTATCGTGGAGTTCATCATTCTGCCTCTCATAATTATTATCACTATTTCAATAACGTGATCCTCCCTAAATGAATCTAATACAATGTATTCATTCTTATGTCTTTTGCAGTATCTAGCATAGTACTTTGCACAATAAATATTTATAAATAAATACTTTTAAAACATGATAAAGTCCCACAGATCTGTCCAGGGCCTCTCACCTCATTTCCTTGTGACCAGGTTTGTTGAGATTAGAAACACCTGGGTGGTGAACCTACTCTATCATTATTGTTATCAAATGTTATCACCAATCACTTCGTGGAAAACTCCTTTAAAAAACAGACCATTGGCTGGCGCCACGGCTCACTAGGCTAATCCTCCACCTGCGGCGCCGGCACCCCAGGTTCTAGTCCGGTAGGAGCGCTGGATTCTGTCCCGGTTGCCCCTCTTCTAGTCCAGCTCTCTGCTGTGGCCCGGGAGTGCAGTGGAGGATGGCCCAAGTGCTTGGGCCCTGTACCCACATGGGAGACCAGGAGGAAGCACCTGGCTCCTGGCTTCGGATTGCCTGTCAAAAAAACAAAACAAACAAACAAACAAACAAAAACAGAGCGTTTAGTGCTTCTTAGATTGATCTCAACCAACTTGGGCTCCTCCGAGTGCTTAGGTCTGTCAAGGCTAATTAGAAGACAGCAGTTACTTTCAACTGCTGGAAAAAGTAAGCAGGGTCTCATCAGTTCATTAACCATAAGATGATTTATTCATGGTAAGAGTTTATAGAACGGGACTGGCACTGTGGCATAGCCGGTAAAGCTGCTGCCTGCAGTGCCAGCATTTCATATGGATGCTGGTTTGAGTCCCGGCTGCTCTACTTCCGATCCAGCTGTCTGCTATGGCCTGGGAAAGCAGTGGAAGATGGCCCAAGTCCTTGGGCCCCTGCACCCACATGAGAGACTCAGAGGAGGCTCCTGGCTCCTGGCTTGGGATTAGCCCAGCTCTGGCCATTGCAGCCATTTGGAGAGTGAACCAGCAAATGAAAGATTCATATTCTCTCTCTCTCTCTCTCTCTCTCTGCCTCTCTGTAACTCTGCCTTTCAAATAAATAAGTAAATCTTAAAAAAAAAAAAAAAAGTTTATGGAACTCCATCTAAGGCCTAGGAAAACACGAGACAAAAAGGGTACAATTCTTCCTGCTTTCAAAGAACATACATACAATCTATAAAGAAGTCACTATTAGGATAACAAGTCTGTTGCCCAGTCAGTGGAAAGATTCTTGGACTGAATGTTCAGTGATGGGGAGAGCTAACTAGATGAGGGAGAAGCACTCATTCCAGGCAGAGGCAACAAATCTGGGCACTTGGGGAGGCCCCCAACGGCACTGCAGAGGCTGGCAAGTAAAGTGTCTTGGCAAGTAATTGTCACAGGGCAGGGTCAAAGAGTTGGAACAAAGGGGAGAGGAAGGACTTCATTAACGAAGGGGCTCATGAGGCCTGCACTGTGACACAGTGGGTTAAGTCGCTGTCTGCAGTGCCAGCATTCTATATGGGCTCCAGTTTGAACCCTGACTGCTTCACTCCCAATCCAGCTCCCTGCTAGTGGCCTGGGAAAGCAGCAAAAGATGACCCAAGTGCTTGGACCCCTGCACCCCCAACAGCTGTTGCAAGCCATTTGAGGAGTGGACCAGTGGATGGCAAATCTCTCTTTCTCTCTCTCTGACTCTGCCTTTCAAATAAATAAATATTTAAAAAGAAAAACAACAAAGGAGCCCATATGATAAACTAAGGAGTTTGAACTTGACACCCTGGGAATTATAATAATTAGAAAGTCTTTGGGAACAGGCTGTGGTTAAGATGCCACTTAGGATCCCCTCATCCTGTGTTAGAGTGCCAGGGTTCCAGTCACAGCTCTGGTGTCTTCCAGCTTCCTACTAATGCATATCCTAAGAAACAGTAGTACTAGATGACATGGTTGGGTCCTTGCCACCCACGTGGGAGACCCAAATTGAGTTTCCAGCTCTTGGTTCTGGCTTGGCCCAGCCTTGCTGTTGTTGCTGGCATTTGAGGAATGAACCAGTGGGTGGGATGGGAGATCTTGCCCATTCCCACCCCACCTCATGCCTTTAAAGTAAATAAATAACTTTCTTTAAAAAATTTTTTAAAGTATTTTAGCCACACAACAACTAGGTTTGTGTTCTGGAGACCAGAGTGGAGCAAGAAAAAATTAGAAGGTAATGGCAATGACCCAGATGAAGTATGCTGCAGGTTTCAGGAAGAGCAGAGGCAGTGCAGTGGGAAGGAGAGACTGACTAGGCGGAAGGCGTATAAAGGAAGTTGAATCTACAGGATATGACATATAAATGGGTGTGAAGGAGTGAGTGAGCGGGAAACATTCAATACGACCTTCAGCATTCTGGTTTGGGGGTGACCTCTAAATAAAGATGGCACAGGTTTCAGGGAACTGGCTGGGTATCATGAGAAGAGTAGTGCCATAGATCCAGGTATGTCAAAGGATCTTAGTCCATCGTTTCCCAATGTGTGTTCCACTCTAATTCGAACTCTAATTCTATAGGATTTTAGCAGATTGATTCCAAAAATGGTTTACAAATTCTTTTAAGCATATAAAAAATGCTAGGTTAAATAAAATCCAGTGGATTTCTAGAGAGGTTTTCAGTGGCTTTAATATGATAATGTACACTGTGAGCTTCTAAGGTTGACGTTGTAAAAGCACTTCCCAGATGTACTAAACTATGAAATCCTTTTTCCAATGGAACAACTCATAAGACATGTTCCATAGAAATGGAATGCTGATCAGCACCATATAGTTGGGTTATGGTAGAAAATTATAGCCCCAAGTTGTGAAGTGACTTACCTAAAGTTAAATAGCTATTATTGGCAGATATTGGTCTAGAATCCATACTTCTGACTCCAGTTGCATTCTTTTTCTACAGCAGATAAGAGTTATGAAATCTATCCTTTTGAATGAGGTTTCAAATCAGTAATTTTTAAAGCCTATTTTAGCTTTAATTTTTTTTAAATTTTTTTTTTTTTTTTTTTTGACAGGCAGAGTGGACAGTGAGAGAGAGAGACAGAGAGAAAGGTCTTCCTTTGCCATTGGTTCACCCTCCAATGGCCGCCGCTGCAGCCGGCGCACCGCGCTGATCCGATGGCAGGAGCCAGGAGCCAGGTGCTTTTCCTGGTCTCCCATGGGGTGCAGGGCCCAAGCACCTGGGCCATCCTCCACTGCACTCCCTGGCCATAGCAGAGAGCTGGCCTGGAAGAGGGGCAACCGGGACAGAATCCGGCGCCCCGACCGGGACTAGAACCCGGGGTGCCGGCGCAAAAAAAATTACAAATAAATAAAATTTTTAATGCACATTTTTAGATTTAATTTTAAAGCCAATTTAGCTTTAATTTTAAAGCTAATCTCTAATGATTACTATTTTGCATAAGATGAAAAGATTTGTACATTGGAAAATGGGACCAATTGTTACTTCAATTTAATCTTTCTGATAATTGTGTAATAGATTTATAAAATTAAAGCACCTAACTAAATAGGACATCTGTCTAGTCATCCTAGCCCTGAGGCAACTTTAAATAAAA